AAAGATCAAATCAAAATATTGATTTACATATTTCCTTTCCATTTTGGTAGAGTTCCCGAAAATTCGTTAAATGGAGGTGTTCCATATAACGAACAAATCTCCCCAGTCCCTTGGCAATTAGTTAAATCGGGCTCCTGGTTAAATCGAGGTTCCACTGTATCAGGAAAATTCGGTTGAGGATTAAGGACAACAACAACTAACTGCAGAGTAAGTTTCATTGACCTTTATTTAGTATTTCCTACGAAATTTTAGGATCGTATTATTACCCCTTACAATCACTGTAGTTTACTGGAACGGTACCTTGGTACAGGAGCCCATCGTTCGATTACCGAACCAATCGAACGACAATCCGACCGGTTGGGTTCGATTGAGTTCCACTGATTTTTAGTTCGGTTTTGTTCGATTAGCTACGCCGGGATAAATACACGAATATCAATTCGAGAGAAATTAGATCATTGCAAGAGACCACAGGCAGCCCAAACTCACGTTACGAGGAAAGGGTGTAAAGTAATTTATTTACCATAGGTGACGCGTGACCTTTTTGCTAGACGAGTCGGTGTCGCGCTACAGGCGACCGTTGAAAATATGAGACTTTGTATCAGAAATGAAATACTTAGACTGCGAGCAGTCTCTTATTTTTCTTTACAAAGTTACTGCAAGAGAAACACTGCACGCGAGCCGCGATAAACGAGGACGTAAGCCCGAGAAGAAAAAATAAGAGACTGCTGACTCTTTGTTCTGTCTGGGGACAACGAAGCTGTCAAGGTAATCTAATTAACAAATTACTGGTAAACCCGATTAACTTGAAACGATTTATAAATAGAACTTAAACGACTGAGAAATTTTACTTTTTTTAAATCCGGTAAGATTGATTTGAATTCTCGTAGAATTCCTTTCCCTTGAGGAAATTTACAGCAACGACGGGTGCAAGGGCGGAAATGACATGTTTACTAGGCTCTTGCACTGTGAAGAAGTGAGCCCTTGCACCCGTCGTGTACGTGTTAATTGTCATAATGCAAATTAGTTGGTAAGCGCAACAGCGGTCACAGGCACTGAACGAAAGCCAGACGTGCCTCGAAGTCCGGCACAAATGGTTCAATTTGATGGGGAAATTATAAAGCTTTTTTCGATCCGTTCTTTTAGAGAGGAAAAGGAGTTTTCCCTCTTGGGTTGGAGCTGAAAAAATTTACAGCAGACTTGAATTTCGGCGAAAAAACGGCATTTTTGTTGCGACTGGTCCAGGGCCTTGCCAGATCGAGGTGACCAGCCTTGACTTCGTGTTATGAAGGGAGTACTGCAGTAACAGTTGTTATGCAATAAAGCCAAAAAAAAACAGTAAAACGACAAGCAGACACCGAAACACGGTGGAACACATCGCTGGAAAGTCTTTTTTATTTATTTCATTGAAGGAAAAATTAGATTTAACGTTATTTAGCGTTCGAAGATCTCAGTATTTTATTTCTGATACAAAGTACCATATTTTCAACGGTCGCCTGTAACGCGACACCGACTCGTCTAGCAAAAAGGTCACGCGTCACCTATGGTAAGTAAATTACTTTACACCCTTTCATCGTAAGGGAGTTTGGGCTGCTTGTGGATTAACATGGCGCGTTATTTCAGTCATCGCCGAGGATAAACTGCATGCTCATGACAAGACTTATTTGCATACAATGAAAGTGTACAACACACGACCAGTTTATAGCCTCACCATCGAAGTTTTCACTAAAGTATTCAATTGTTCCAAAGTAATCATCGCTTTCGTGGACCGAATCGTTCCAGAAAAGCTCGACACCTTTCACATCAATCTTTCCTAAGCTGTGGCTGCCCTCCAAAGTCGTACTTGGCATCCGAAGGAGTTTCATTGTTATTCACAAGAAAAAAAGAGAAACACCTTAATCCTCAGATCTTCAGTTTAACTCCAGATAATCTTTAACTCTTCAGTTCTTCAGTTAACAACTTAGTCTGCCTTACACGATACGGATGAGCGAAGGATTACATAGATTGTAAACCTAAATCACACATGTGATAAACAAGAACATGGCGGCAACTAGCACGAGTCCTAAGCAAAATGGGAACAACCGCTGACCATAAATACTGATAAATCCTTACTACGGCACTACTGTAGTAACATGGCACCTCAACTGCATGTCATGCAGTTAAGACAAAGCAATAAACCTATACGAGTCCATAGGGCTAAACGTTCAACAAACTATCAGTTTGATACTCAAACAGTAGAATCTCGAAAGTTCAAGTAACTGATCGGCAACAGCGACTGAATGTTAAATGAGTTAATCAAAATCAAGTGTTCGCTACAATGTTCATTGACAATAAAACCTTTGCAACGTCTTTCAATTTTTCTTTGTTGGCTCCTCGATTGGGATTTCCCTGGTCACCTCGTGAAAGACATCCTCCTGGAACACTTCATCTCCAGTCAACAATAGAACGAGCTTGTGTATAGGTCTGTCTAAATATGATGGTGGGCGTTGGCGTTTGCCACTATCATCCAAATTCCCATCTGCCATCAGCAACCTGACCTTTCTGACATACCTGTCGTCACTAGGGTACACCTGCACTACTTTGCCAATTGGCCACTTGTTGCGCGTGCTTTCACTTTCCTTAGAGATGACTATATCACCAACAGCAAAGTTTCTCTTAGGCCGGACCCACTTTTGCCTGACTTGTAACATTTGAAGCTACTCTCTCTGCCATCTCAGCCAGAATTCATAGATACTGAACTCTTCTCCAACGTCTGCAACAATACATATCGGCTCTTTGAAACTTTCCTGGGGGCGGTAGCTCTGGCGCTTCTGCACCACACAAGTTATCGACGCTGAGGGGTCTTGAATTAATAATGCACTCGACTTCTGTCAAGAGTGTTCGCAATGTCGCATCATCAAGTTGGCTGCCAGCTTGTAACAGTAGTGGTTCAAGTGCGTTGCGTACACTACGAATCATACCTTCCCATGTCCCGCCCATGTGACTAGAATGGGGTACGTTCAACTTGAATGGAATCCACTCGCATCCATTCCTTAGCAAATAGTCTTGAACGCGATCTTAATTCCTCTCACATAATGCTGCTTTCTGTTCACTTCGTGCACCAATCAAATTTGTCCCTTGGTCGGACCTCAGTTGTCTCACAGCACCTCTTCGATTCATGAAATGTCTCAATGCATTTATAAAGGAAGAACTCTCCAATGAATTGGCAGTCTCTAGATGAACACTTCGTCACCTCATACACGTAAACAATTCTACTCCATAGCGTTTAACTTCACTTCTTCTCTCTTTGACAATGAACGGTCCAAAGTAATTGTAATGTATTGATCACCATAGTAACGATTATGTACTATTACCAACATTAGTGAAACTACGTGTACTAAGTGATATTAAAGTAATACAGCACGGATGTAAAAGTACTGATACTAAAAGTGAAAGTAGATTATGATTTGTATTGGGATAAAGATAGTTGTTCAGTTAATAAAGGACATTATGTAAAAGCAATGAAAGTGTGAGTATCTCCTTGTCTCATGACTACACCACAGTAATCCACGGCACAAAACGAAAAAGGAGGAGTTGGTTCAAGTCTGTGGTCAGGAAGGCAGACCATCTTCTGCTGCTCAGTGGGCCTACGCAGTCGTCTACATGTCACACAACTCGATATGAACCTCGCTATTTTTGATGAACCATTGATGAACCAAAAACCAATTTCAACCAATAACCACTTCAGCTAACTCCAGTCTTGGAATAGTCTTGTGATTAAGGGGGGTTACCCGGGCTTTTCCGACGATGAAAGAACAATTAGCGTGATCGAGTTCGCTAATCAATCTTAGATAACAGCATTGACCATAACCTTCCATTGAAGCGTCTGAAAAATAGTGGACCTCCACTGCTTTCACTGGGCCAAAGTTGTCTGGCTTGAAACATCGCTGTACCTCCAGTTTCTCCAACTGTACGATTTCTCGCCGCCACTTTTCCTACTGCGGGTGTAGATACTCTGGAACAGGGCTATCCCAATCCAGCTTGTCTTTGCACATCTGATGAAGAATCTGTTTACTTCTGAGTGCAACAGGGGCCAGGTACCCATCAGGATCATAAATGGAGCCAATGGTGGACAATACACCTCTTCGAGTTAAAGGGCGATCATGAAGTTCAATCCGGAACAGGAAACTGTCACTTTCCGCGCACCACATCACGCCTAGAGCTCTTTCAGTAGGTAATGGATCTGCAGCTAAGTTCAGTTCCTTCATTTCCCTTGACTGGTCATTAACAGGAAAGGCTTCGAGAACTTCTTTCTTGTTGGAGACTATCTTATGTAATCTGAGACAAGCCTTGCTACAAATTGCTTGACTGGCCTTGATTAACTGGATGGCTTTGGGTACCGTTGATACAGATTTCAGTCCATCATCTACGTAGAAGTCCTTGCGTATGAACGCCGCAGCATCTGTACCGAACTCTTCTTCGCCATCGTCAGCTGCTCGCCTAAGCTCAAAGTTCGCGCAACCTGGCGAACCTCTGGCACCAAACAGGTGAACTTTTCTACGATAGTCGATTACGTCCTTTGATGGATCCCCATCCAACCACCAAAGGAAACGTAACAGATCTCTGTGTTTTTCGGCAACCACGAAGTGATGGAACATGTTCTTGATGTCCGTCATAAATGCAACGCTTTCCTTGCGAAAACGACACAAAATACCGAACAGATCGTTCATAAAGTCAGGACCTTGCAGCAAGTAGTCATTGAGGCTGACTCCGTTAAACTGGGCCGAACAGTCAGACACCACCTTTATCTGCCCTCGTTTCATTGGATGGAAGACATCTGTATGCGGGACGTAATTGACTTTACCGTCTTGAACCTTAAGGCGATCTACAGGAACTTCCTCTGCACAGTGTAAAATTAGGTCCTTCATAAAGGTCTGGTAGTCTGCAAAAAACTTTGGATTCTCCTTGAATCTGGCATTCAGTTAGTTCCACTTCTTTAAAGCAAGCTGGCGGTTGTTGGGAAGTCACATACTGTCTGATTTCAGCGGAAGTGGCATCACATAACGTCCATCTGATTGTTTCTTTACTTCGTCCTCAAGAATCCTTAGAAATCTCTCATCTTCCATAGAATAAGGTTTGTACTTGAGACGTGTCTCAACAAAGTCAGTTTCTAACACACGAAGAACGTTCTCTGGGCCAATAATCTCTTTAGCCTTCGTGGCAAATGCAAACTGGCTACGAATTTCTGAAGCTCCAACTCTATTACACACACCCTTGTCTGTGTTTTCAACATTACTTGGCTTGCACACTCTTCCAATAACTCCCCAACCAAGTATAGTCCTCTGAGCGTAAGACTCGTCATCTTCACCGGCAACTATTTCCCTGGGTCGGATAGCTCTCGGACGGTTGTTTCCAATCAGTATAGAAATATCTGCATCTGGGTGGTACGGTGTCAAATTATCGGCGATGGGCCTCAGATGTAGCCATTCCCTAGCCACTTCAGGTTTTGGAATCTGCGACCGGTTAGCTGCAACAAGTTCCCTGGTGAAGGCCACTGGCATCTTCACTACACATTTTCTATGGTAGTCCAGAATCACTAGCCCGGATATCTTTTTAGATTTAACACGTACATTTTGCTGCTGCATTTACAGAAACTAAGTTAATGGGCCTTGCAGGTTGAACCGTTCACAAAGAGTCTCAGACACAAAACTGACATTTTAATGATCGTCGAGGACTGCATAGTGCAAGATTTCCTTCTCTGGCTCTCCCACTGGCCTGACCCACACTGGTACTATCATGGTGTGATCAAATCCACCGCTTTGTTCAGGAATTAGACATACACTCATAGAATTTGAGATCGCAGCATTGTCTAGTGTTAGTTCCTTGTGAACGCATGTGGGATGTGTTCCTGAGCATTATTTAATTTTGCATTTCAACCTCTCCTTGCAGTTCGCTACCTGATGACTCTTACTGGCTGCACAACCCATACACAAACGTTTCGGAAGAAGAAGTCTCTCCTTTCACTGAAAGTCTTTCTACAGAAACCAGTGCAGTCATCCAACTTATGCACCACAAAACAGACACTTCGTCAAACCATCTGGACCAGGGTTCTTTGATTTACTAGAACTAGTCGGGTCTGATTTACCGTTCCCACCACCCTTAGCTGATGTAGACAGAGAACTACCCTTCTCATTATCTGGGTTCGGCTTCGGATTTCTGTTAAATCTTGGACCACTTAACGAGGAGAGGCCTTCTAACTCTGGGATGTTTGCCTTCTA